GGGTTGCAGCTTCCGTGATTGAGCGACGATTTGGAATCGGCGTAATTGAACAGGGCGCCGTTTGGTGTGTAGTCCCTGATTGGGACTAATTTTGGTCCCAGTTGGGGTACACTTTTTGTTCCAACTTTCTCCAAATTGAAATCCGATTGAACCGTTGGGGTCAGACAGTCAAACTCTACATAATGATATGATTTTCATTATTTATTGACAAACTTTAGAATTTACTTATTTTTGGGTCATTCTCAGTAATTAATTAATTATAAATTAATTAACTCTGATAGGCCTATTTTTGGGGCGTTACATTTCTCTCCCCCGTAAAATAATTTCGTCCTCGAAATTACTCGAGTCATTGGTTGAAGAGATTCGGATATTGCATCCTCATTGACTCTTCGGTTTCCCATGTTGCCTCTTCAGTCGAGTGATTCCTCCATAGCACTTTGACTAAGGGTACAGATTTGTTTCTCAATTGTTTGACCTCTCGTGCTAAAATTTGTACAGGTTCCTCTTCATAAGTCAATTGTTCGTCAAGAGTTACAATAACCTCAGTCAAGATATGCGATGGATCGGAACGGTATCTTTTCAACATCGATACATGGAATACGTCATGGATTTTGTTCAGTTCTGGTGGAAGTTCTAACCGATAGGCTACTGGACCCACACGTTCAGTGATTCGATAAGGTCCAATATATCTCGGACTCAGTTTTCCCTTTCTACCGAACCGTAACACTTTCTTCCACGGTGAGACTTTCAGAAACACCTTGTCATCAACATTATATTCGATCTTCCGACGTTTTAAGTCGGCATAAGATTTCTGTCGATCGGAAGCCACCTGCAATCTTTCTCTGACTAGACGAAGCTTCTCTTCAGTTTCGCGAACGAGATCAGGTCCTTCAAGCTTTTGCTCGCTTAATTCTGTCCAGCATACTGGGGTTCTACAGCGTCTCCCATATAAGGCTTCGTACGGGGCCATTTGAATACTCGCTTGATAACTGTTGTTATACGCGAACTCCATTAGCGGTAAGTATTGTTCCCAGTTGCTTCCAAAATTAATTACACATGCTCTCATCATATCTTCAAGAATTTGAATTGTCCTTTCAGATTTTCCGTCAGTTTGAGGATGAAATGCCGTACTAAAGTTAAGTTTAGTACCTAAGGCTTTCTGCAAACTTTTCCAGAATTGTGACGTGAACCGCGGGTCACGATCAGAAATGATAGACAAAGGTACACCATGTAATCTTACAATCTCACGGATGTACAACTCTGCCAACTTCTTCAAGGACATATCGCATCGAATAGGAATAAAATGAGATGACTTGGTTAATCGATCAACAATTACCTAGACAGCGTCATTTTTCTTAGCTGATAATGGAAGTCCAATCACAAAGTCCATCGTAATTCGTTCCCACTTCCATTCAGGGATAGTAGGTGGATGTAACAACCCATTAGGCACTTGGTGTTCAGCCTTGACTTGTTGACACGTCAGACATCGTGTTGTAAATTCAGAAATTTCCCACTTCATTGTGGGCCACCAATATGTCTTCTTCAGATCTTGGAACATTTTATTACTACCAGGATGCATGGTATAAGTGGTTTCGTGAGATTCACGCATTAAACGTTCCCTCACTTTGCCACTAGGAACTACCAAGCGATTCCGGAAGAATAAAATTCCATTATTTACTGTGAAATCTTGTCTCTCCCCCTTAGAGACAAGTTCACAAGTCTTCAAACAGTAGTCATCACGTTTTTGTGCAACATGAATTTCATTCTCAAGAGTAGGTTGAACTCGGAGTTCGGCTATCATCTTTCGGCTCAATGCGTCAGCAACTACGTTAGCCTTGCCAGGGTGATAGTCAATGTAGCAGTCGTAGTCTTTGATCAATTCCAACCATCTTCTCTGTCTCAGGTTCAATTCTTTTTGAGTTAGCAGGTATTTTAGACTTTTGTGGTCTGTGTGAATATATGTCGTCTCTCCAAAGAGATAATGACGCCATATTTTCAAAGCAAATACAACTGCTGCTAACTCAAGATCGTGAGTAGGATAGTTACATTCGTGAGGTTTCAACTGTCTTGATGCGTATGCCACGACTTTTCCGTCTTGCATGAGTACACATCCCAAGCCATTATGAGATGCGTCACTAAAGATTGTGTAGTCTACACCTGGTACTGGTTGGGTCAGCACAGGTGCTTCTGTCAGACATTTCTTTAGTTTCTCAAAGCTTTGCTGACATGCATCGGTCCATACAAATTTCACATCTTTTCTCAGAAGTTTGTTAAGTGGAGTTGCGATCGAGGAAAAGCCTTCAACGAATCGTCGATAGTATCCAGCTAATCCAAGAAAGCTTCTCACTTCACGAACATTCCTTGGAACCTTCCACTCGGTGATGGCAGATATTTTACTGGGGTCTACCTTAACACCTTCTTGAGAAATCACATGTCCCAAAAACGTAACTTCATTAAGCCAAAATTCACA